CTTTGGAGCCTGTGAGTACATTAACCCCAAGTGGCCTACCCTTTTAAGGACGAATGAAAGAAAATCAGAATCAATAATTCTTAATGGAAGGTTTTGTGAGGTCCGAGTGGGCCTTAAACCCAAAACTTGACACCCCCAAAACCGAAGGAAACCCAAAGAATCATTGAAGAAATTCTGCAACCATCAACCAAACCCGGAACCGGATATCGCTGTGCTACAGAAAGCCCTAAACCCCAAACCCGAAACCCTAAACCGTAAAGACCTCTGAACCTTAGCCAGGAGTCCGATTCGGACTTTCCCCACCTGCGTGTGGCAGATCGCGCGGATTACCTGGAGAAGTCCATTGAGATGTAGGTTTTAGGGTTTAGGGTTCAGCGGTTCGAGTTTGGGGTTTAGAGGTTTAGAGTTTGAGGTTTAGGGTTTATATAGGGTTTCGGGTTTGGGGTTTACGGTTTGGAGGATTTAGAGTTTAGGGTTCAGGGCTGAGAGCTATTCAGGGTTGTCATGATATCGCTTAGCAGCACAAGCACTTCGTGGATTTCAGCCTTTGGGCTTCTCGGTTTCGGTGCATCATGCTTTCTCGCTCCGCCTATCTGAAACAAGATGCCTCATGGGCCCCCAGAGGTCACGAGATTCCAACACCTGCTCTACCTTTCCCTCACAGTCCATGTGCCCAAGTAGTATAGACTTTGGCCCTATACGTGACTACGTAGGGACTACTTTATATACTACTTGGGCACATGGACCCTGATACCCTTATGGTACCCGCAAAAGAACCCTTATGGTACCCGTAAAGGAACCCTTAAAGCATCCCCTTCTTCGCTAAAGGAACCCTTAAAGAATCTCCTAATTCGCTCACGGAACCCGTCAAGAGCCCCCTAAAGCTTTAAAGAAACCCGTAGGGGTTTAGGGTTGGGGGTTTTGGGTTCAGCGTTTAGGGTTTAGGATTTGGGGTTTAGCGTTTGGGGTTTGGGGTTTAGGGGATTCTCCTATGCAGTTTGTCCCTAGGAACCCGGACCTTTCTTTTCGCTGAAGCTGAAGCCCTAAACTGGTAACCTCAATCCCGGAACCCTGAATCTAAAATAGGGCTTTAAACCAGACAGACAAAACCTTTGTAGAACCCTGACCGGAAGCCGTCGAGAACGCTTCAAGAAGCCCATAGCTAGAGAACCGTCGCAAGACCCAGGCTAAGTCTACGGTTTTGTCCACAGTTGGAGGATTAGGAGGGCGGAGTTGAGGGTTTAGTGTTTCGAGGGTCGAGGGTTCACTTGCAGGTTCATGGGGGTACTTGTGTGCAGGGGTGTATGTGAGGTATCTGTGGCTGTGCCTGTCCTAGATGGGCCGGCGAATTTGATGTGGAGTTTCAGGCAAGGGAACTGGAGTCACGATTAGCTGTAGCAGAACTCAAAACAAAAACATACTCCCAACCTAGATTGACACAATCCATGAACCTGTGGCTGCAGAATGACGGCGCGGCCAAGCAACCCGACACCCTAAAACATCAGTCCACAACCCTTCCATGATATAATTCCGATCCGAGCTCTGAATCCTACATAAACTCACAGAAGCTAAATTTCCGAAATCCCTCAGCCCTACATAAGCCGTATACAACCCTCATACGAACCCTTGAAAGACACTCCCTAAATGCTCAGACTATCCGAAGCTCGTGGGGGCTTGGAGCTACGGATGCCTCTCCTCCGGCCTCGTTTAGGGTTTAGGTACAGTTTAGGGTTTAGGGTTTAGAGTTTAGGGTTTACGGGTATAGGATTGTCGGTGTTCCGCCAGCCTGGCAGTACTTCTTGGCACGCTCCACCTGGAGTTGCCAAGATTTTCAGGATCATCAAGCATAATTAGCCGTTTATCCGCTTGAGGAGTTGCACCTTTGCGTACGTACCTGGGATTTCGTTTACAACTTGTGATCGAAGGCTCCTGTCGGCTTTCGATCTGCATAAAGCTGCCTCACCAAGTGGAACAGGGTTGGCAGGGGGCATACTGTAGACGACTGTTGAAACATCCCGACCCCGGAGGATGTAGATGTGTGTTATGAAAAGTTTATGAAGTATTTACGGCTTGGGTGTTTACTGGTGTTTATGTTTTTTCAACTCGCAGTTGTCTATTTATTAAACAACATGAATTTGGGGTTTTGTGGTTTCTGCACGAACATATGTGAACAATATAGAAACATTATGATTATGTGCATTTTCCTCTGACCCTGGCCCTGGCCTGTCGCCCTGATATGGCGATTCCCTGCAACGTAATATGGCCAGACACCATTAAAACACAATGAAAGAAAAACACAACAACACACACGCGTGTCAACTCTATGTTTTTGTCAAATGGTTTTGGCCCCGGCCCTCGCCTTGGCTTTGGGCTTGGACACCGGGCGGGCTAGCAAAGTCATGGCACGAACCATGAAAATTCGATACGTTTTGTGAAGCCCTGAACCCTGAACTCTCCGTTTATTGAGGAATATACCTTAAGGGGTTCCTAAAAGGGATCCATAAGGGTTTGTGGGCCAACCACCCAAACCTTCCAACATCCCTTCATTGAAGAATATACCTTAAAGGGTTCCTCAAAGGGATCCATAAGGGTTTCTTCTATTATCAGGGTACTATAAGAATTAAGGAATATGGTTTCAAATATAGTAGGATCCCTCCTGTACTAAGGGATATTGGAAGGTCTGGGTACCACCCCGCTTTGTGGCCTTCTTCCAAGCAGCTGCCCTAACTAGCGCCCGGATCATAGGTCTCCCACTCCGCCCTTTGAACGGTTCATGTGTTGATAACTTTCTCACAAACTGTAGGACGATCCAAACAGACATTTTGTTTCATAAGTTGGCGCCGCCAATTGTGATAAAAGGATCTGCCTATTCATGGTTTCTGGAATCCCTCTTCTACGGGCGCATTTAAACCCCCCCATAAGTAGGCTGCTTCTGATTCTGGATGCAAGGTTTGGCAGTCAGTCGCTATTCGGTTTCAGTTCTTGCTTTAATCTTAGGGGCTGAGTACCCTAGCCCAAAAAAGGTTAACCTTTCAATTATGGTAGGATTATATAAGCCCAAAAAGGTAAAAGGTTACCTACTCAGCTACCAAGTAATGGACCTCCAGGGGCCTGAAACCCGAAACGCCTAAAAGCCCTAAACTCCAGGCGAAGACTATGCCCAGACACGGGATTCCCTCTGACCCGACACGACCCAAAACGCAGTTGACAAGACTAGAACCCTCGAGCCTTCTTCTAGGGTTCAGGTTTGTGGGCTTTGGGGCTTCTGGGGGTTCCTTCTTTCTTGCGTTGGTCGTGTGTTTTTCTTCATCGGGACATATGTCTTGCTAACCCCTTTATCGTTGCCCCAAGCCCTAAACCCTAATGGCTCAGGGTTTTTCAGGACTTTTCAGGGCTTTTAGGGTTTAGGGTCCTATTGTCGTATGTGGTCTCGATTTCAGGGTGTAGGATTGCCCTTCACGGGGCTCGGGAGCCAGGGCACTGCAGATCAGAAACCTGCAGTGTGTGTATACCTGAACCCTACACCCCTAACCTAGGCAAAAACCCCAAACCCCAAAGAGACACTTTTCCGACTGCCGCCGAAAGGCCTCAGCGCCCATGGCGTCTTTGCCGTCCTTGGAGGCCTCTTCCCAGCCTCAACTCGATTGGGCTCAGTTAGGGCTTTGGGGTCTAAACTTTAGGATTTCAGGGTTTTAAGTTTACTTTCGGAGTTTAGGATTTTAAGGCTTGGGGTTTAGGGACTATAGGGTTTACGATTCAGGGTTTAAGGCTTTAGGGTTGAAGGCTGAGGGTTTGCTATGCGGGGTTCAGCTAGGGTGTAGGGTTTATAAGGTTTTTTGGATTTTTTGATCTCAGGGCTCAGGGTTTATTTTAGGATTCTTGGGGTTGAGGGCTTAGGGACTGCAATTTAGCTCAAGTCTTGAAGTGGGTTTGGGGTCTCTGGAGACTCACCGGGCTTAGTGCCCAGGTCTTCCGACATTTCTTAATTAAGGATGATTACACTCTACGTTACTACGCTATAATGGGATCCCGAATATGACTCAACGCATATTCCTTTATTAGGTGATATTCGAAGGCCTAGGTCAAGCTTAGACTTGCAATGGGATACGCGCGTTGAGTGCTGCTACACATCGTCTTCTGGCTTACCCACTGGGTATCTTTCTGCAAGTCTAAAGGAATCAAAAAGAGTTATGTCAAACACGTAGCTTTTATAGAACGTTTCCAAATCCATCACATAGGCATTCTACTTTCAACCGCGTGTGGGGGGGGACGCTTCTTAAGCCATTCAATCTCAATTCATCTTGCCAGCCAAACAGAACGCCTTATGGACCCTCTTCAGAAGCCTACAGAGCCCCCATAGCAGTCCTTGCGAGAACAGCTATGTATCCAGATCCTTTGAGCTCTGACGACGGACTTTTTCTTGCCCATCTGGCGGACGCGGGGATCGCAAGTCTTCCCTCGGATGCAAACGGCAAAGGTGTAGGGTTTGGGGTTTAGGGTTTCGGGATACCTGGACCCTGAGGCACTTACAGTTTTTGGGGTGCCACATATTATGACTTCATGAAAGAAGTCCTCGAACAGACAGGTTTTTTGAGCTTTGGCTTCAGTTGAAGCAAGTGGTTGTGCTTGGTTTGTCATATTCGTCGTCGTTGTTCATAGTGGTTTTGGTGATAAGTAGCAGTAGCAGCAGCAGCAGCAGCAGCAGCAGCAGCAACAGCAATGTACCCAGAACGCTGCCGCAAAGCCCAAAGAGGATGATCTAAAGACCGCCTAAACCCCAAACGTGCCAGATTCCATGCCTAGGTTCCCCAGTAGCCCCTTAATGATAAGGGTACCCTTTTTCCTCCTATTTGGTGTTCATAAGGTCATAAGGGAACCCCAAAAGGACAAGGGCAAAAGGGTACTACTGGGAACCTAGATACACTAAACAAAAAAAGAGAAAACCTCTCAAATCGTCGAACTCCAAACTAAACCCTTAACCCTAAATCCAGCGGTGGTGCCGATTGAGGTGGAGCTCTAGGCTTCCCCGGTTACCCGGCATCACTTTGGCAATGATCTTCCGACGCTGAAGCCTTGGGGTAGTGAGGGTTGAGGGTTTAGGGTTTCGGGTTTGGGGTTTGAAGCCGGGTAGGCTTTAGGGTAGGGTCTAGGGTTTAGGGTTTAGGGTTTCGGGTTTGGGGTTTAGGGGTTTGAAGCCGTTTTGGACCTTGATCACGTGAGCCGAAAGTCCAAAGCTTAGGGAGTGTGTTTTGGGGTCTTCACGAGTTTAGGAAGAGACCATGGTCATTGCACGAGACTGACATTGGGGGCTACGATTAAACCATATCTTGGGTGGCACTTTCTGCTACACCATCAGGGTAAATCGCATGGTTTCTGTTTATTATTCCGGTCATAGGAGCTGGAAGTAGGTATGTAGGGTTACAAGAGGTTAGGTTTGTAGGAGCCCCCTGTCTGTGAAGCCCTCATGTAAGGTCCAAATTTTAAGGTCTTATAGACCATAATGCCACAAAGTCGAACACACCTAGTTTAATACCATCGAGAACCCTTTCAAGAACAACAATAGAAACACATAAGTGCCTGGAAGACAAGTCAGTCTAGTGTTGACTAACCGATAAACTCGTTTCTGGCTTCGAACAAAATATGGGTGGCAACTCGTTCCACTCGTCCTGGGGCGCGGAGCGGGACGAGTGGCGCGAGTGTGGCGTGAGTGGAACGAATGGAATGGCATAGAACCCTAAGCCCTAAGCCCCCAAACCCTACCCTAAACCCTAAACCCTAAACCCTAGACCCTAAACCCTAAGCCCCCACACCCTAAAAGCCCTAAAATCCAAACAACCCTTATAGGGACCCGAACCCTTTCGGAGCCCCCATGTTGCCATCCGGGGTGCAGATCTTTCACCTGAGCTGCTGATCAGACCCCCTGGACCAAATAAGCCACCTCTTCACAGAACGGTATCCCAGATTTGCATATGGGCTTTTAGTATAGAGTTAGAAAGTTATGTGGGCTTGTTTAGGGTAATTCGGGTTAAGGCTTGAAGTGGCTTAGGAATGATGGGTAAAGATCAGGCTTTCCGTTTTGACGGGCCCTTTAGAAAATATTGGGTCACTCCTACACCTGGTAAGCCCTGCAGCTTCTGGGTTGGATCCAGACGAGCCCTGATTAATGAACTCATTAAACCCTAAACCCTAACACACCGAACCCTTGAACCCTTGAGGCCTGAACCCTGTTTTGCTAAGGCACCGGCTTTTTCGTTCAGAGTTTCGAACTAAGCAAGGTTTCAAGGTCAGGTGCCGGCTTGGCATATACTTAAGCCGTTTGCCGTAACCCCAAATAACCTACCTTTTCAAGGAGATATCTCAAGACATCATAGCAAGGAGCCCTAAAAGGGCAGGTCTTATTGGGTTCAGCTAAGGGATTATAAAAGGCTGCAGGACCCGACAAAGCCTGAAGCAGTCGACCTAAAGGTAGACGATCGCATAATAGGATTTTCGGCACAATTTAAGCGGATGCTCTTACTAATTGTTCCCATGAACCATGATACAGCCCTAAAGAATATGAGACCCTGATAACATCCGGCAACTAAAACACCTTTTCATGAACATCTTGTAAACCCAATTTTACGTTAAACCCAATTTCCTTTTAAAACTCGTATAAACCGCACAGTCCACTGCAAAACCCTGGTTGAAGCCCCTTGTGGAACCCCGTAGAATCCCTCAAGCAACCGTTGCAACACTCTATATAGCCCTAACCACCCTTCTAAAGCGCCTTTTGCACAACACAAACCACATCCAAACCCTTGAAAACCTTGAACAAGAACTACGGGTCCATGTATTTGGGCCCTTGGACCCTTAGAAAAAAAAGCCCTCGGGAAGCGTCTTATGAACAACCACCAACCACTCAAAATACATTGGCATTAAAGTACCTGCACATGGAACACTTTAAGGCCAACCTATTTCCTACATGAACACATAAAGCCCTAAACCCCAAAACCCCTATAAACCCTAAGCCCCTAAACCGCTAAACTCTAAACCCTAAACAATAAACCCCTAAACCCTAAACAACAAACCCCTAAACTCCGAAACCCTAAACCCCAACACTCCTAAACCCTAAACCCGAAACAATAAGCCCCTAAACTCCTAAACCCTAAAAAGGGAAACCCACAGAGCTTGAGGTTTCGAGACTGGGCCGCTAAAGCTTGAAGATCCGACTTCCGCCAGCGGGGCCGGCTGCGGCCCGTTACCTTCGGCATGGCTCTACGGGTTTGGGGTTTAGGGGTTTAGGGTTTAGGGTTTGATTACTCAGGGGGATTAAGTACCCTAGCACGAACAAGGCAAATCTGTTACGGATGGTAGTAATGTACTGCCAGACAAATACTAATTTTCATCTGAAAGGCTTACCTATGCAGACTCAAGATTCAAAACCTGCGCTGTCGGACTGGGCAAAAGCACGTAAAGACCGAACCACGAACTTCCAACGCTGATCGCTGGGCTCATGATGCTACAAAACAAACCCTAAACCTTAAACACTAAACCCGAAACACTAAACCCTAAACACAAGCTTCGGCACAATGGTGCAGATCTGACGTCTCTGAGGGTGAAGGAGAGCTGGTAAAACGACGGAGAGCCACCATTTCACAGCCAGAAGAGCCTCGGCTGGTTTAGGCTTTAGGGTTTAGGGGTTTAGGGTTTAGGGTTTAGGGTTTAGGGCTGTTCAAAGAACCCCTGGGAAAAAAAAACAAACACACATACTTTTGCAGGGCTAGTCTGATTACAATAAGAACCAAGTTCAAAGGTTTTTGGGAGTGTTAGTTCGGTGTTTATACTCACCCAGTAACCAAAAAAGGGCTAAACAGTATACCACGAAAAACAGCCTGGGAGGCTGATCCAGGTGACATCTCACGCAAGTCTAAGGTCGTCGAGCCTTTGTGGAGCCTGGTGACGGCTGTAGGATTTAGGGTTGAGAGTTTAGGGTGTAGGGCTTAGGATGTAGGGGTTGGCGTTTAGCATGTAGGGTTTAGGGTTTTAGGGTTTGCGTGTCTAGGGTGTAGGGTTCGGGCTTCTAGGGGGTTTACTAGGGGGTTTAAGGCTTGGGGTTTTAGGGTTTTGCGGTTGAGGAGCTTTCGGCTGTTGAGGTCAGTTTAAGTTTGCTCCTGGGGGTTTATCCAGCAAATTTAGGATTAACATCTTGGGGCTTGGTTGTAGGGTCTGCGGCTCAGAGATCCATAATCCCTAAGGGTCCAAAGGACCCAATAGTAAGGTACTTTAGTTGCGGATGGTAGTTATCTAGGTTAATCTTTGGGAGAGTACATGATTATTGGGTACTTGGACTCTGAGGGATGGAAGATAAGCCCGAGTCATCCCTGGGACGAGGATGGCGTGCTTCGGAGTGTCGGGTGTGCTTTGGGGGTTGTGCTAACTAGCTACGATACCGCACTGCATAATACAGGGGGCGGGATCATTAGAATCATTAGAACTAGCGTTTTGTGTTTTGAAGAGAGGAGTTGAGTATACAATATAGTTACGATATGCTGTAATGAGGTACCTGGAACCTCCAAACCCCTAAACCCAAAGCCCCTAAACCGTAAACCCTAAACCCCTGAACCCTAAACCCTAGACCCCACACCCTCAACCCCTAAACCCTAAGGAATGGTAAAGGTAATCCTTCAGGCTTCTATCGTACATACAGAGCTCTGTCACGAAGGGGTCTGGGGAGTTCAAGGATTTGACGACGTAGGAGATTGCGGGTTCAAGGGTTAAGGGGTTTAGGGTTTGGGGGTTCAGGGTTTAGGGTCTGGGGGTTTAGGGTTCAAGGGTTAAGGGGTTAAGGGGTTTAGGGTTAAGGAGTTTAGGGTTGAGTTTAGGGGCTTAGGGGTTTAGGGTTCAAGGCTTAAGGGGTTTCGGGGTTTAGGGTTAAGGGTTCAAAGGTTTAGGGTCTAGGGTTTAAAGTTAGAAGGGTTTAGGAACGAGGATCTGGACTTGGGGTGGTTTAGGGCTTGGGGTTTAAGCTCAGCAAGCTGCAAGGCTTATTACACAAAACATGCAGCCATCATATAAAGGCCCTACAAAACCCACCCTTGGAGCCGCCTCATAGAATCCATCTACAACTCGCTTGGAACCCTGCGATCATGACAATGCCAAGACGCTACGGAATCCCTTGCAAGGGTAGACTGGATCCTGGTAGATCCTATGTACTGCTGATGGACGGAATCCCGGGTGATCCGAAGGTAAAAATCTGAAGTTTGTGTAGTTCCAGTGCTTGGAGTGTTTCAAGTGGGTTGTCTGTCGGCTGTGGTAGAGTCGTCTTGTCGACTAGCAACCAGAGGAAGCCCAAAAGACTAAAACTCATCGGATGTGGGCAGCCAAGAGACAAGTGCTCGTAGAAGTTGGCATGCAAAGCTTGCAAAAATAATGTATAGCCGGCACTTCGATGGCAAGCTGCATCGAGGACGGCATTATAGCCTTTGTTCCCCAGAATCCTCTTGACAACAATGGTCTTTCTTCCTATGAGCAAGGGTGTTCATAGTCATAACGACCCCCGCCCTTTCCCCAACATAAAGCAGCAGGGGGCTGCTTGCACCCTGCTTGGGAATCCCAGACAACATCCTTATAGGACCTGTGCGGAATCCTAAGGGGAACCTTTGTAAACCCTTGAAGAACCCATAATAGGAGCACAGAGAGAACGCCCCAAGAAGGCTGCATGACTTGAACACCGAGTGGCTGGCAAGGCTCGGCTTCACGTTGGCTGAAGGCATCGCGTGAAACCTCATGGAGGTAAACCCTACCCAGAGGCTCCATAGTAGTTCCTTTTTGGGATTACCTTATAGGATCCTAAATATAAACCACAAGAAGGAACTACTGTGGAGCCTATGGGTAAACCCTAAACCCTAAACGGTGGCTGACAGGAAAAAAAAAGAGGGTTTAGGGTGCTCCATAGGGGTTCCCTTAAGTAGTCCTTTTTAGGCTTCTCCAAACAAAACACGAAAAAACAGTGAACCCCAAACCCCCGAACCCCAAACCCTAAATGCGACCCTAAGGACCCTAACCACCCTGCGAACGAAGATGGGCAGACGCCTAAAGACTGTAAACCCCCCCAAATCCCGTCGAAGCCTTCTAGAACCCTGAAAGGAACCTTATAACCATATAACTAGAAGCCTTAACCCGCACCCTCAACCCTCCCTAAAGCCTAAACAGGAACCTCAAAGGAAGAAGTACGGATGAGGAGCAGATGGAGGGCCAGGCGCCAGTTTACCGGACCGCAGGCGCTCATTGCGGCATTGAAGCCTCTGGCAGCACGTTCCAATGGGTTTCCTTTCCCTAAGGGTCCAAGTACCTAATAATCATTTATCTCTCCTAATTATTATTAACCTATAGATAACTACCATCCGCAACCAAAGTACCTTATTATTGGGTCACCTTAGGGTCCTTTACCAAAAAGATCCTAGGTAGTAGAAACCCTGCATTCTACTGTAGGTACCTAGGCCCCTTTGCGGTCAATGGGTTCCGGTAAGGTTACGGCAACCCTTACCCTTATATGCCTTAACAGCAGAAACAAGATTTTAATTCTAGGCTTCCGTATCATGACTTCTAGAAAAGATTCCTGAAACTGCCAGATCGTTGGGAAATAAGGCTAAACCCTAAACCCTAAACCGTTGGGAAATAAGGCGAGGCCTAATGGCCTGACATTTTAAGAATAAGCCCCGGAATTCAGCCGAAAGACCCCCAAAGTTTCGGTGAGTTAAAACAAGTAGGGAAGGGTTTAGGGATTTAGGATTTAGGGTTTAGGGGTCTAGGGTTTAGGGTACCCAAGCTCGCTCCTCTAACACCAAAGGTCAGGGCTATAATGTTTAACGTCTTACGGTTTATAGGGCATCTTTAGCGAGCTTTACGCTTGACGTTTGAGAGCCTATTAGTCAATCTCAACATACGGCTGATGCCCGAAATCCTGCATGACTTTGAACCTACCCACGGCTCCCCTGCTAATTACCCCCAATTTTAATATTGCACTGATGCAGGGGCTGAAACCAGGGACTGCACGAATGCCCAAAATCCTGCATGACCCCATGGGGATGCAACATTGAAACCAAGGGCTTGCAGGGAAGTGGATAGCGCGACATGGGATATGTGCGACGTTGTAAGTCATGCAGGATGTTGGGCATCAACAGTATCTCACGTCTTGCAGATCCAAGCCGCTGATCACGTCTGGAGTCAAGCTTGTCATGTGTATGGAGTCGAAGAGGTGCAATCCAATTTGCCACTGCGCGCCCTTCTTGGGTTTAGGGCTTGCAAGGTTTATGGTCCAGGGGTACAGGGCTTATGGCCTTCGCATTGAAAACTTCTTGCCTGAAATCTGATTTGCAAGGCGTGACACGCCTCACATAGCAGTTCGTGAGCAAGGCTCGAATTGACAATATCACTGGTTCGATACGCATTACCAGGTACCATTCTCGGTATTCGCTTCTTATCACTGTTTTGCCTCCATTTTCTGAACATCGATCTGTGGGGCTGGCCTTTAACTGGGTATTGTGCAACTTGAACTTTATGTTGTCAGCCATGGAGCCATAATGCTGGAAGCACTATGGCTCAACATCTGGCTTCAAGCCCTAAACACTATTTCTTGAGTTCCATCCATCCCAAACATCACAAAACCCTTTCAGGGTTTAGGGTGTAGGCTTGCAGCTTCAGGGTCTTTACCTTGTTGTTTTCGCCCAAGTCCTTCTCACAAGCGCTGATAGCAGCATTGAAGATGATGACATCGCCTTGCTGGCGCTGTAGAAGGAATATGAGGACTTCTTTTTTATGATTTGAAAGTGAGTACTATAGGGATCCACTCCCCCACTCCTCCTTAAGCCATCATTCCCAAAATCAATCCTTAGGATTCCTCGTCATAAGTATAAAAGTAATATACCTCAAAGCCCTTTTCTAAGCAGTAAGGCCCCTATAAAAATAGGCTTTCCCTAAGGTTAGGCCTTCCCGAAGGGTCCAAGTACCTGGTAATCATGTACTGCTCTAGAACTATTGCCTAAACCCTAAATCCTAAACCCTAAACCCTGAACCCTAAACCTGTTACAGAACTACTGTTCTGTGGGTTCTTTGAACCCTGAGGGCTTCAGCACCGTCAAGCCGCGCGGAAGGCTCTGCTTCGCCATAGCGTCGAGGAAATCGATAGCCAACTGCCACTGGCCATCTGTCTCGAAGGCCTGGGTTCCCCTTTAAGGTTTAGGGTTTCGGATTTAGGGTTTAGGGCTTCGGATTTAGGGTTTAGGGGCCCTGAACCATAAAGGCTTATACAGTGCATAGGGTCTTGTTCAGCCTGAAGAACGGACATCTCAAGAGGAAACAGAAGTACAAAGGGTACTAGCTGGGAACACCGGAGCAGCCTCATGGAACCGTACCTACAGTGCTACAGTCTCCGTTGGAGTTCTCTTTTGTGGGGGTTTCACGACCAGAGTTTGTAATGGTTTAAGGTTTAAGGTTTAGGGCGTAGGGTTTCAGGGCTCAGGGCTTTAAGGCTTTAGGGTTTAGGCCAAGCTTATGTTTAGGATCCTAGAAGGTAGTCCTACAGAAGAACTGCAACGGAGACTGTAGCTAAAAAACAAAACCCATGCGCGAGAGGACCCTCATAGAACACACATCCGAAGGTGCCAACTAGCCCAAAGTAGGTACTGTTACTTGGAGGCCTCAAAAAGGTGGGATGATGGTTAGGGTTTAGGGTTTAGGGTTTAGGATAGGGTTTAGGATCCCTGATATAAGGACTCTTGTTTGGGATTGACCCCACCTACCGGGTTTTGGTACCCATAAAGGCCCCAAGTCCTTCAATAATGAGTACTTGGACCCTTGGGGACAGAGGTTACTACAAAATAGACTATAGACCCTCCCAAGCAACGACTAGCTGTCTGTATACATGGAGTCTTACCTACAGTCTCCCATTGTAGTTCCTCTTTTGGGTTAGCTTCTAGGATCCTGAATATAAAACTGGCTAAACCAAATGGGAACTGGAACCCCAAACCCTAAACCCGATCCCTTGGGCTCAAAGTAGCCCAAAGGCCTTAGATAGTATGGTCTTTGGGCCTGAAAGCCATAAAAAATGTGAGTCCTGCGAGCCTTAGGGTATAGGTAGGCAAAACCCTAAACCCTAAACCCAAACCCCTAAACTCAAAACCCTACACCCTAAAACCCCCAAGCCCCTACCATAACCCTAAACCCTAAAACCCTATAGGTAGGCAAATGAAACGGTACTACTGCAAGGTCCCAGAGTCGCTGATGGCGGTGCTGTAGCTACTCACGTCCTCAGTTCAGCTTTTCTGGGTTTAGGGTTCCGGGATTCAACCTAAGTTACCATAGTAGGGATCTATAGTACTTAATAGGGGTTCCTACTTGTTATGGTAGCTTAAACTAAATAAAGTACTTGATAGGGTTTCCTGATTATTATGGTAACTCAAACTAAATCCCTTAACAAGAGCCCAGCATTCGCTGGTCTGGCCGGGAAACCGTCTCAACCAGAGATTGCGTAAAAGGGAAACATGATCCCCTAAACCCTAAACCCTAAACCCCTAAACATGATTAAACAAAAGACGACGGTATGCCCTAAAAACTGTAGAACCCTTGGGCCCCCACGGTGTCCAAATTCCCGGAAACCCCTGAGGCCCCTGTAAACTTTCGACTCCTCTCAGGACTGTACCATGTGTAGGGTTTAGGGTTTAGGGGTTTAGGGGTTTAGGGGTTAGGGGTTTAGGGGTTAGGGGTTGAGGGGTTTAGGGTTGAGGGGTTTTTGCCGCACTCCGGAAGTATGATCAACCAGCGCACTCAAACCGTAAACCCTCAAGCCTGAATGCTGAAGTCAAAACCCTTATTCTCTAAAAACCACCTATAACATATAATGTAAGAACACTGAACCACACAGATCACTTTAACGCATCCTTTTCCATCCCTTTTGAGGAACCCGTATGGATCCCTAAAGTAACTTTAGCCTAGGCTCCGGGATCAGCTTGGCCTGAGGCATGGAGTGAAAGACGAAAAGAGCCAGCTGCCACTGCTCCCCGTTTTCGCAGGAGGTCATGGTGGCATTGTAGCCTGAGCTGTTCGTTGAGGTTTGGGGTTTGGAGTGTCGGGTTTAGGGCAGAGGGTTTAGCGTTGAGGCTTTGGGTTTAGGGTTCAGGGCTGATGTGCCGAGAAGCTTGGTCCCTGCACAAACACACGACACAAGTGTGACATGAATGCAGAACCACTAAGTGTACCCAAACGGCAAGTAGCCGATGTTCAAGTTCTTTCCGGGCTCCGTGACAGGCATCTCGCTGAATAGGTGCAAAGCCATCTGCCACTGTGCACCCGCAGCAAGAGAGCTGATGGTGGCATTGTAACCTAAGCCCGAAGACTTAAACCTTAGCTGGTAGTCCTAAACCCTAAGCCGCTGGCAGCCCCAACCGACCGATACAGTTCTCTAAACCCCCCAATCCTTTATAATACCCCTTCACCGTATTCCGCTAGACCCGAAACCTTAAAAGCCCTAAGCCCTAAGCACCAAACCCTAAACCCCAAACCCTAAACCCTAAGAGCCCTAAGCAATTCCAGAGACAGCTATCAGCTCGGCCGAAGTGGCTTGTGATGTTGGGCACGAGTTGATTCTCGGGCATGGCCTAAGTTCGTCAATAACGCTGCCTAAAGATCGATTCAGGGTTTAGAATGAAAAAAAGATCAAACTTCTTAAGATGGACATATATATATATATATGAAATGTATATATATATATATATATGTATTTGTATATCTATATATATATATATATAAAAGGCCAAAGATTACAGGTCAAAGCTCTCCCATGGGCTACCTAAGTCGCGCAGAAGAGGGCCAAGGACGACGGCCACTCTTCTCCTTTTTCGCAGGAGCTGATCGCAGCGTTGTAGCCTGGGCTACGGTTTAGGGTTTAGGGTTGCCATTAATTACGGCTTAGGGTTTAGGGTTGAGGGTCTAGGTAAGCCCGCCCCCTTACTATTTCCTTATAGAAATCCTTAAACTGGTAGGTTATTTGAGATGCCGCAAAAAAAAACATATTATAGTTAGTATCCCTCTAGTATGTATAGCCCATATCTACTGAAGAAACCTTATGACCAGATCCCAGATCTGATCAAGGCGTAGTCCGAAAATTACAGGGCCTTCCTGGGCATCCAAAAACCTACCGCTTTAAGGGTTACCATTACCCTAAACCCCAAACCCTAAACCCTGAACCCTAAACCCTATAACGGACCATAACCTACCATTTCGTAGGATTTGGGGATACAGGTTGGGAATCCCGGGGTCGTCGCCCAATGTTTTTCAGGGGTTTATAGGGGTTTAGGGGCTGGGGGGTTCAGAGGTGAAAGGCTAAGGTTGAGGGCTTGGGGTTTAGGGGTCGAGGCTTCCGGGCTTTTGGGGCCAAGACCTCGGCCTCAAAGTTTTGGGTCCTGGAAGTTTGAGATTCTACGTCTTTTCCACGGTGGTTGGGATTCTGTGATTTTTGGGTTTCGGGCTGCTGTGTTTAATAGGGTTGAGGGCTGATCCTTCAACCCCGCACCTGCAAGCAACAACAAGCAACCTGGTCTGAAATCAAAGGGTTTAGGGTTTAGGGTCCATAGGTTTTAGGGCTAAGTTTTAGTTTAGGCTTCAGGGTTTCGGCCCGAATCCGAAACAAGCATCGACTTGAACCTCAGATTGAAGCTCACTTCAAAAACCCCGAACTCCGACACGACATCACTTCTCATGTTCAAGGGGTACTGTATCGGGAGTAGGACTTCGAGTTTAGGGTTTCTGGTCCCTAAACCCCAAACCCCAAACTAGGCTTTAGAGTTTGGCGTTTTGGGTCCTTAAACCCCAAACCCCCCCAAACTGGGACTCAGAGTTGAGGGTTTTGGGGTCCCGTAGCCCCAAGCCCTGTAAGCCTTATAAGTCTGAAATCCTGGAAACCATGAGCACCAGGAGCCAGGAGTCTCCCTAAACCCTAAACCCTAAATTCTAAAACCTAAAAACCCTAAACCCTATAACATAAAACCCTAGAACCTAAAACCCTAAATCCTAAACTCTAAAACCCAAAGCCCTAAATCCAAAAATCCTAAAACCCCCTAAACCCAAGAGTCTCCGAGGTGCTTATGACGTTTGGAGCCAGCTTCGACGTGGGCATGGCGTGCAGCAAATGGAGGCTCCACTCCCAAGCCGTGGACTTCTCGCAGGAGCCTTTGTTAGAGCTTTGAGGGGTTTGGGGTTTAGGGTTGAGGTTTAGGGGTTTAGGGTGTAGGGTTTAGGGGTTTAGGGGTTGAGGGTCTCTAGAGTTTACCCTTAGGGATGTACCCAAGCAGTGTGCGTGTGCACGGTGGCTTTTAGTGTGGTCCCCTTTGAAAAATCTTAGGTACATTGGGATCAACACCTTTTTTCTGTTGGAAACCTCTAGGGTTCGGCTTTAGAGGTTAGGGTTTAGGTTTTGGGGTTTAGGGTTTAGGGTTTTAGGGTTTAGGGTTTTAGGGTTTAGGGTTTTAGGGTTTAGGGTTCTAGGGTTTAGGATTTGGGNNGCTTTTGGGGTTTAGGCTTTTGAGGCCTGGGGCTCCTTGACCTACAAACTAAGTCCGATTCGTGAAGGTTTTGGGCTTACGGTTTGGGTTTCTGCTGAACCCTATAGACCCTAAATCGGTGTAGCCTTGAGGCGTCGAGGGTTTCAGGGTATACGTATGCGAGTTAGCACGGCTGCATCTCAACTCTTTGCTGTCAGGATTCCTTTTGCAAGTTCAGTCTCTTAGGGCCTTTCAGAACCTTCCTTCCAACGACCCTCCCTAAACCCTAAACCGTACCTCCCATGAAGCCCGCCTCTACAGGACCAGCGTTTTGAGCTGTATGATGGTATTGATATTGATATACCCACAGCCCCCGTGCGTGCCGCAGCCCTAACTTGTAAATTGCATCTCCGACTGAAAGGCGTTCAACAAAAGCTTCAGGCTGCATGGCTTTCGTGCTTCAACTGCGAGCACCGTTGGGAGGCTCACAAATTTAAATAGGCTCTCCACGCTGTTTTGTCACTTCAGACTTTGCCCCCCCCCCCCCCCCCCNNTTTAGGGTTTAGGGCGCTTTAGGGTTTTGTGTCTACCTGCTGCTGTGGAAGCACGAGTTGAAGTTGTTTTGAGGGGGCCTCAGGATAAGGGCATAGGCCTTCAGTTGCAGAGCAGAGTTCGTTCGGCCTAGTGAACCCGACTGTCCCAGAACATGCGACAGAACTCCCAAAGGCGCAGCCAGCAGACCACAAACCGGAGTTTATGCTCAGAATAGGAATGACTTTCACCAGGGCAAAAAGGCTGATGGCCGCATTGTAGCTGATGACATTGGGCGACAACTCGTCCTGAGTTGGGGGGGCTGCCCTGGAACAGGGTTAGCAAGGGGGGGCTGCCTCACTACGACTTACTTGCAGAGTAATCATGTTGATAAGCACGGCAATGACGATGACGATGTATATGGTTGCTGATGAAGACTTGTGCAAAGAAGAGGAATAATACTACGATGATGTTGATGGCGGTGATGATGAAAACACACGTGGCGATGGTGAAGGTCCTGAGGATGGATATGATGGTGACGATGCTGGTAGCGATGACGCTAATGATGACCATGCTGATGATGGCGACGACGAAGATGTAGAAAACGACGATGATGGTCACACGATGGCGATGAGGTTGATAATCATGATGGCACAGAAGATGACCAGGACTGCTACATGTGTAAGGATAGGTTCCACTTTACACCAGAAAAAAAACACAACGCAGACCCCCCCCCCCAAAGAGGACCTAGGGTCGAGACGAAGAGAGCTCAAAAGCTGCAATGACAAGCGCCACTCTGCGCTCTTCCCGCAGGCGTTGATTAAGGCGCCATAGCCTGCAGATATTCTTGTCGTCTCAAACTATCTAGTTTGTTGGTACAGGTCGCATTTTCTGTAGGCTCAGGGGGACAATTTCGGTCCTGGCTTTAGAGATCCGGCGTATTGGAGTTGAACGTCGCAAGGCCCGCTGTATCAAAGGGGGTTCGGGTTCACAGATTCACAAACCTGTTGGCTAAACCCCCAACCCTAAACCCTAAACCCCTAAACCCTTAAACCCTAGACCCTAAACCCTAAACCCCTAAACCCTAAACCCTAAACCCCGAAACCCTAAACCCAAAACCCCTAAATCCTAAACCCCCACACCCTAAACCCAAAACCCCTAAACCCTAAACCCCTAAACCCTAAACCCCTAAACCCTAAACCCCTAAACCCTTAAACCCCTAAATCCTAAACCCCCAAACACTTAGGTTTTTTGGCACTCTAAGTCGTCCGCTGTAGAAATCAGGGGTTTCCGATTTCCCGTTTCGAGCTCCGAGTTTCCAGGTTGAGGGTTTGATATAGGAGCCTTATAATGCCTAGAATATGGTTTTGGGGTGTTTAGGGTTTAGGGTTTAGTGGTTTAGGGGTTTAGGGTATGTTATACTATAGTTATCAGAAGCAACGCCCAGAGTAGTATTGGTATTTATTTAAGCCCCTATAGTAGGGCTCAGGGTTTCCGATTTCGGGTTTCCTAAAGACTCCAAACTCCCAAGCCTGTATAAACTTCCTATTCCTAAGGTCTGGACATAATTGCCTGCATCCCCAAACCCTACGGGGGGGTTCTGCCCCCTGAACTAGAGTCAAGTATAGGGTATCATGCCCTTGAAAATAGTAGGGTTTTGGATCCCCAGGTAGTAACTTTGTATTGCCAAGGGGCTGACGATGTTGGGGATCAGCTTCTCCTGAAGACCAGCCAGAGGGGTGCAGGGCTCCCCCGGGAAGTTCAATACAAGCGGGTTTAGGGATTAGGGTTTAGGTGTTTTAGGGTTTAGGGATTATGGTTTAGGGATTAGGGTTTCGGGTATAGGGTGCAGGGTTTGGCAAGCTTTTTATAGCGATATCTTCATCTGCTGCCTTCTGCCACTGTACGCTCCCTTCGTCATGCCAATGCTCGAATACAGCTTTTTCCTGTTCCGCTTTGCCAAACATTACCTGATCCTATTTCGTAAACCCAAGCACTAGACTAAACATCCACAACCCGAAACCTTAAAACCCTACCTGGGCCCTAAATCACCTAGCGCTTCAAGGCCTCATATACAGAGATCATGAAAGGAGCCCTAACAAGGTAAAACCCTTAAACACCTAAACCCCTAAAGCCCTAAAACCCCCTAAAACACCCAACCCCCCCTAAACCTCTTTCAAAGACCCCTGGAGCCTTCCCTGAAATCTGGCTTTCTGAGAGCCTCGGCAATCGAGCGGAAAAGCTGCAAGGCCAGTGGCCATTGTCCATCCCCCTCGCCTTAAGGGGCTTGGGGCTTAAGGGTTTTAGGGTTTAGGGGTTTTAAGGGTTTGGGTCTTATGGGTTTTGGGGGTTTAGGGGTTTTAGGGAGTTCTAGGTGTTAAGGGGTTTTAGGGTTTAGGGCTTTGGGGTTCTAGGGGTTTTAGGGGTTGAGGATTTAGGGATTTTAGGGGTTAAGGGTTTAGGAGTGTAGGGTTTAGGGTGAATGAAACCGGCCCCTTTTTTTGGGCACCGGGTAGTCCGAAAAAAGGAACCTTACGGCCACCAAAAGAAGCCCAGTCTGCTCTAGCTTCTGTAAGCGACCATGATACAGTTGATGATGGTTTATAAGTCCTGCATTACCCTTTAGGGCTTAGGGTTTAGATGCTTAGGGTTTAGGGTGCATTACCCATAGTAAGGAATATACCATAATTCCCATAGTTTAGGGTCCTTAAGGTAGTGCAGGATTTATATCATCAACAGTAGTTAGGGATTTCAAGCACTTTGTATGGCTGACTTCAAGTTGTGTAAGTTGCCAGAACCCTTCAAGATTTAAAGTAAATACGGCATATGGTCTCCTGCCATTTACCAGGGTATACTCCCTGTAACAAGAATCGAACCCAGTCGCAGGAGCTGATGGCAGCGCTGTAGCTGACAATGCTGGGAACAATCCTTACTTCGCCAATTCGCGAGGAACTACCAAAAAAAAACTAAGAACATGAGAACGGGCTTCGTGCATAAAAACCAAAACATTACGCAACAAAAGCGTTGGAGAACGAAGTGTCGAGGCTGATGGCATGGTGTGGAAGAGGTGGAGGGCCAGCTGCCACTGAGACTTCTTCTGACAGGAGCTAATGGCAGCATTGTAGGTGATGACATCGGGGGTGAGCTTTGCTGTGGGTAAGGTGTGGAACAGATGTAGTGCTAGCTGCCACTGGCCACCTTTCTCACAAGAACTGATGGTGGTGTTGTAAATGATGATGTCTGGCGTTAGAGTCGCGCTGGGCATGGCATCAAAAAGTTCCAGCGCCAGTTGCCACTGGCCTGCTTTCTCAAAGGAGCTGATTGTAGCACTGTAGCTGATAACATCAGCTACCACATGGGCTCCTTGTGCTCCTGGGTTCAGGGCTGAATGTCGGGGTTGAGGCTGCTAGTATTGCGGATCGAAACCGAACTCATAGCCAAACCCTAAACCCTAAATCCTTACAGTCCTGGCATGGTGTGGAAGAGGTGCAGGGCCAGTTGCCATTGGTTTGCCGCAGCGCAGGCACTGAGACCCGAGGAATAATGAGCGCGCCCCAGCTTTATCCGACCATCTGCATGAAGAACCTGCAGCCAGATGGGGTGATTATGCATAGTACTATATACCCATATTATTAAAACTATCATTAACATTTGCTATTAGTATTAGTATGATAATACTATTATGACTCTTGTCATTACTACTATGAATATTATAGTGTAAGTACGTTATGACCCTGAAGACCAAACCCTCAGAGTAGGTTTTCGAACCCACACCACCTGACCTAGGGAGTGCTCCTCGGTAAAGACCTAAACGCCCTAAACCCCAAAACCTTAAACCTTAACCCCTAAACGCCCTAAACCCCAAAACCTTAAACCCTAAACCCTAAAATCTTAAACCTTAAACCCTAAACCCTAAACCCCAAAACCTTAAACCCTAAACCCTAAACCAAGTTCGGGGCCATCGCGGACCTCCATCAGCTGGCAGACCAAGTCGGGTCGCCTCTGGCTCCGGAGGTCTTTCCTCGCATCATGTCCAAACCACTGTAGGGTTTGGGGTTTTAGTGCTTTAGGGCTTTAGGGTTTAGGATTTTAGGGTTTTAGGGTTTAGGGTTTTGGGTTGTTTAGGGTTTTGGGGTGTTGGGTTTAGGGTGTAGGGTGTTTAGGGTTTAGGGTTTCGGGTGTTTAGGGTTTGGGAATTGGGACGTGCTATCCAAATACAATTTTAAAAGCGCTTTAGCAGGGTTTGGTAGTTGCGTCCCTTCAAAAATATCCGACTAAAAAGTTGGTTTCGCAGCTTTGGATTCATGGTTCGACGGATTTAGGCCTTGGCCGGGAGCCATGCCATGCACATATGGGGTCATTGCATGCTGTTTTGTGAGGGATCGGGGCCTGAGATACACGTAACTTTTTACATTGCATTGCAGGATGTTGTTGCGATGTTGGGCCCATGGTGCTGGAACCTATGACTCACCTTGAGCTGACGATGTAGTCCTGCACCCTAAACCCTAAAAGCAGTGTAAAGACACGCCAAGCCCCGTGAACCCTATGTCCTCAACCCTGGCCCACTCGTTTCTTGCTGAGGTCTTAGGCACTACAAGGGTTTAAGGCTTGGGGCTTTAGGGTATAATAATCAGACGCACACATACACAAAAGACTCGTCGCTGGGCACTGAACATGCTGAGCCACCGATCGAAACACTGACCCGGGAGAATCATAACCCGCCCAGTATCTTGACATCGCCGAACGGTTTCACGATGTTTCATGTATACTGTCACTGAAGAAAAACCGCGCCTCAATGGCTTTTGAGACCCTAGCTTTATAATTCGAGCATTCGGTGGACATGTTTGGTCGAGAATGCCTGCACATGAATCAGACCGCTGCCAAAGCAGCTCAGAAACAAGCTGCGCAATCAAGTGTGCCGAAGTAGCTAGACACCCGGAAGCCCTGAGCACCAAAACCCCAAAATCCCAAAGCCCTGAAGCCTAAAGCCTTGCAGTCGGGTTGCAAGAGCTTGGTGATAGGTCCCGGTGACTGCTGCCATGACGAAAGCTTGGGAAAAACGAGCTCCTCGACCTGGCTGGAGAAAGATTAGAGCTTAGGGTTTAGGGTATAAGGGTTTAGGGTTTAGGGTATAGGGATGAGGGCTTAGGGGTTTAGGGTATAGGGTTGAGGGGTTTGAGGGGTGTTGAGGGCTTGAGGGGTTCAGGGTTCTGAACTGAGGGCGGTTTGGGGTCTCAGGATCCATAAGGTTCCTTTCAGGGTTTGTGTAAGGGGCTCCGTTCAAGGGCTCCTGTAAGGGGTGCTTGCAGGGCTCGTTACGTCTATCTTTTCTTTAAGTGCTTCGTTAGGTAAACGAAGCAAGAGGCAAGGTCCACAACGAGGGCGCCCGAGCTGGGTTCCGGCCTATCCGAAATGAGGGACGCGCGAACCCCTGACTCGTCTGAATGAAAAAGAAATACCACCACCCCCCTCGCCCCCGTATCATTGTATGCCCATAGCCTTATATCGTATGACTAATCATGTTCCCCTCGCGATCCTACTGTTGATGTCCTTAGTATGGGTAATGCAGGATTTATATCATCAGCCGTAGTTGTGAATGCCCCGTTACCATCATCAAACCTAGTCCCCTAAACCCTACACCCTAAAACCCAAAACCCGAACCCTACTCGCTCACCTTCTGGTTGTTAGCGGGTCGCGGCAGCTCGAGCAGTCGCGCCAGAAAGCGAGACGACGAAGCACCCGCGCGGGAGGCCGCATGCATGGTGTGTTTACAGTTTAGGGTTTAGGGTTGTTTAGGGCCAGCGGTCTAGCTTTCTCCGTCTTATGGGGAATCCTGGTTAATGAGCCCCGTATGCATACACACCTGTATATACTCCAACCTAGCAGTCCGATTATATGGTGCATGTTTATTTCGCTCGGAAGTTTCTTTTACGCTCTGAACCATTATGGTCCATTATGACGGATCTGCTAATGGGATATGTTATGTAGAGTTCGGCTTTGCTAGATAGGTATACACAAGCATACGAGCAAGTGCTGGGAACTGAGGCATGAAACTCAGAGTTGAAGGCTGGCGGTTTCTAGGGGTTACAAGGCTTCAGGGTTTAGGGCTTATAAAGTGTAGGGTTTAGGGGAGGCTTTTGGGCTTAGGGTGGGAGAGGGTTGGGGTGGAGTGGTTTGGTGTTTGAGGCTTGGAGCTTGCGCTGGCCACAGAGCACATGCTTCTCCCGCATTGCAGAAATGTCGTGAGAGGCTAGGGATTAATGTGGGCCTTTAAATAGTATATGCAATCATTAAGGCCTCCATGGGGCTTATAATGGTTAGTCCGATTTAGGGGTGTTGATTTTTGGAAGGGGTGTGATCCTACGTTTTAGTAAAGGCACTATCTGACCCAAAGGGCTCGATGTACCCAGTATAGTAGACTGTAAGGTTTCCATCTAAGGAATCACGATTATGATTTAAGGAAGTGCCCCATAATTTAACAGTACGTAAGATCCTTGGCGTAAATTAAGGGGACAAGGTTACTATAATCAGAGTTGCCGAAGTCATGGGCTCCTCTACAGGACGCTGACAACCCACCCATCAGTTCAGCGAGTCTAATATCGGAAGCCTTGACTGCTTCAGGGTTTAGGGCTTATCGGGTTAGTTTATCGGGTTAGGTTGGGTTTAGGGTTTAGAGTTTAGGGTTTAGGCTGAAAAGAGTGGAGGTTTGGGGCTTGCCCGACGGTTCACCGATGGCTGTATGGGTTGATATGGTTTGTCGCAAGGTCTGAGTCTGAATATCGTCATGTTTTCTTTAAGGGTTTAGGGTTTAGGGTTTAGGGTTTATAGGGTTTATAGGGTTAAGGGTTTTAGACTTTAGACATGCAGAAAGACTATGTACTTTTTCACTGCTGGCTATGCATAGGACGCTCATTCGGTAAGCTAAGCTCCCACCAACCAGATTTACAAGTAGCAGGCTCTCAGCACGAACATGTAAGAACCACAAGTGCCAAACCCGAAACCCAAACCGCTTGAACCGTAAACGCTAAACCCCGAAGGCCTGAACCGGAACCCTACAACGACATACCTCTGTGCCCTCCCACAAAGCAGTAGCCCGGCTCTCCCGAACCCCAAAACCCTACACCCTAAACCCTAAAACCCTAAACCCTAAATCCCCAGCTTTCATTGTTGCTTTTGTTTGCTCTGGCCTAGGGTGTCAGGGTTTAGGGTGCTCGCATTCAAGATTTAGGGTGTTTTTAAAAGTGCAGTGGCCTTTCTTAGGGTGTAGGGTTTAGGGTTTCAGGTATGAAGGGTTTCAATTTCCGGAATGGGGTTTAAAGTTTAGGCATTGGGGTTTAATGTAGGGGCCTTAATAAATGGTTTTGGGGGGCTCCTTATTATAATTTCTAATAATCTACTATACCCCAAACCCTATTCCAATTATTAAGGCCCCCTTATAAACCCTAAAACCCTAAACTGACTCTAAACCCTAAACCCTGAACCCTACACTTGACTTTGGGGTTAAGGCTCGAGGGTTTCTGCTAGGTTTGGAGTAAAGTACTTCCCCCCACCCCCCCGAGCAGAAGCCAAGGGAAACAACTGAGGTGTAAAATCCCTAAACCCCTAAATTCCAAAACGGCCCTAAACCCTGAACCCCTGAACCCCTAGGGTTTAGGGGTTTAGGGTTTAGGGATTAGTAGGGTTTTGGGGTTTAAGGGAGTTTGGGGTTTAGGGTTTAGGGGATTTGTAGGGGTTTGGGGTTTAAGGTGAGAATCACCAGAAAGCAGCGCCGCCAGGTGTATGTGAGCCCAAGCTGCGCTTCTGATACTTGGTGAACGCCTTCTGCTTCGAGGTGTGCCACGTCTTGTAGAAGCGCCTGGCTTAGGGTTTAGGGTTTAGGGTTGAGCTTGGGCACATCACTCTTCAGGGTTTAGTGTTTTAGAGGTTTAGAGGTTTAGGCTATCATATCGGTTTAGGGTTTAAGGTTTGGGGGTTTAGCGTTTGGCTCAACTCTATGCGTCCCTGTGAGGAGCTCCACAAAATTTACGGATCCCTAAACAACCCAGATCTTCCAACACCACTGCATGCAATGAAGGAACACACCCCAAATTTGCCCTAAATCATATCAAGGATCGCGTTACCGTTTTAGGTATAACCCTAAACCCTAAACGATAAATATATATATATATATATATATGTATTTATCTATTTATTTATTTATTTATTGATTTATTATATGGTATTCCTTCATCTAAGGGATCTTGGAACCACAAGCCACAACCGCATTCAACCCAAGCCCAACCGAACGCCAGAGCCCGAGATATGAATTCCGAGAACCTAAGCCGCAAAGGGTTTTTACGTACCTACAAACCCTTGCCACTAAACCCTAAAACCTTTAAACCCTAAGTATATTCCTTAAGGGTTCCTTTAGGGGTTTGGAGCTTAGAGCTCGTCAGGATTCCTAAGTACCTAAAGGACCTATATTTCTATATGAGGGAGTACGATTACGACTTAGGGAAGTATCCGCAGGACTTTTTGGGAACGTGCAGACCCAACATCTTGAGCTACGACTAAACCCCAAACCTCAAACCCTAAGCCTACAGCGTCTAACCTTCAACGTCCAACCCTACTTGAAGGTTCATGGGACTTAGTAAGTACATTTATAAGACCTTATAACGAGGCTCATAAGTACTTATAATAATAAGCATAATAACATTTTTTTATCCTAAACCGTAAACCCTACATCCTAAACCCTAAATCCTAAACCCTACACCAAATCCTAAACCATAAGCCCTAAACCCCAAACCCTAAACCCCAAACCCTACATCCTAAGCCCGAAACCCTACATCCTAAACCCTAAACCCAAACCCTAAACCCTAAACCCTACATCCTAAACCCTAAACCCTAAGCCCTAAACCCCAAACTCTAAAGTCCCAAACCCTAAACCCTAAATCCTAAACCCTAAAGTCCCATGAGCCTCCAAGAAGAACCTGTCCCTTTAAATGGCCGAAGCTTTCAGTCTGACGCCTCGAAGGCCGGAATTTAGGATTTAAGGGTTAGGGCTTTAGGGCTTTAGGGTCTTTAGGGTCTTAGGGCTTTAGGGCTTTTGGGTTCCGAGGCTTAGGGCTTTAGGGCTTTCGGGTTTTAAGGTTCAGGGCTTTAGGGCTTTAAGGTTTAGGGCTTTAAGGCTTTAGGGTTTTTTTGGGGGGTTTAGGGCGTGAGGATAGTACCCTTATAGTACCCTTATAATTCCCTGACAGTACCCTTATAATACCCTCATAGTATCCTTATAATACCCTGATAGTACCCTGACAGTGCTTTTGGGCCTCTTGCACTCCTCCGAGAGGTGTCCCGCCCAGACCGAGGTGAGAGCCCGAAGGCCTCTCGGGGTCTCCACCTTGGCCCGGAGTCGGTGGGTGCCTTTTGGCTGCTTTGGGGTTAAGGGTTTAGAGGTTTAGGGGTCAGGTATTTAGGGTTTAGGGGTTTAGGGTTTAGGGTAGAGGGTTGGGGCTATATTAAACATGATCATCTTTAACCGTTTATTGGGTTTTATTATGACAATTAAGGGTTAAGGGTTATTGGTTTAGGGGTTACGGATTTAGGGTTTAGGGTTTAAGCTTTAGGGTTTAGGGGTTTAAGGGTTAGGAGCGTTAGTCTAGCAAGGCCTAGCATCATATAAAGGTACAACAGACGTTCGAGTTGCCCTTATGTTAAGTCACTGAGCGGTATCGGACAGAATACCTGTTTGGTGGGCATTTTTGAGACAAATCTTGCAGCGTAAGACATGAATCTGAAATTGGAGCTCCGGGGAAGTTAGAGCTGCCTCGTCTTTTTTGCGAAGATCAACCAGTGAATCACGAAGTACCTTTAAGCAAGCCCCAGCAGCCTCACAGCCTCAACCCCTAAACCTTTGAACCACCCCAAACCCTCAACTCGCCCTAAACCCAAAACCCCGGTAAACCCCGAAAACCTAAACCGTTTGTATGGCCGAGACTCCTGCATCCCTAAAACTCTAAACTCCAAGAATCCCCAAGCACAAAACCCGAAACCCTCAAGCCTAAACCCTACCCAAAACCCTAAAGCCTAAACTCTAC